AGGTGCCGCTGGGCGGGAAGCGGGCACTTAGAGCCCAGGGGTCCTGAGCCCTGGCCTGGGGAGTGCTCCTGGAGAGGGGCAGGGAGAAGGGAGTAACAGGTGGTGGGGACCGAGCCCTCGGGCCGGCTGACCCAGAGAAACGCCATCTAGGAACATATCTAATCCTCAAAGTAGCACCAAATACAGATGGGAGTGTCACCCTGTCTGCAGATGAACAGCTGAGGTTCAGAGAGGACAGAGGTGAAGGACCTTGCCTAAGTCACACAGGGACCACTGGCAGAGAGGAGGGGGAAATGGAAAGAAGGTGCGGGGAGAGAGGGCAGGGAGGATGGGGCGGGGGACATTGAGAAGGTGAGTGGGGTGGCCGTCCTGAAAGGCCACCCGTCCAAGGTTTCCCCCCAGTCTCCCCAGCCTTTTCCCCTTGTCCTGAGATGGGGCCTCCCCTCTCCCTGCAGAGGACATGCTCACTCACCTTCAGTGACAGTCCCAGCTTCCATTCCCAGACAGCTTCTGTGCCCCAGGCCAGGTGTGTATGCGGAGGTGGGCCCGGCATTCCAAGTCAGGGGTCAGAGGTTGGACCATGGGCATCAGGCACCCTGGATTCAGGTCCTCCTTTCTTACTGACTATTCACATTGCCTAATGCCTTGACAACCCCTAGCCTCAGTTATACCCGCTGTAAGATGGGAATGATAAAATCCCTGCCCATAGATTGGTTGTGAGAATCTGGCCTGCAGCCAACCTCAAACTGGGGCTGGTGCCCTCTGTGCCTGAAGCCCATAGCATCCTTCTATTTTTGTCTCCTTCTGCAGGCCCCACATCCCCATCATACTTGAACCCCTGTCTTCCCAGGACCAAACCAGATAGCCAGAAATTGCACTGCAGCTGGGAGGGGGCCGGGTGTGGATTTTGCAGTTGAGGGCTTGTGTGCGACTCCCAGATCTGCCCCTCCTGGCTGGTAGCTCAGACAAATGCCTTGATGGTCCCCAGCCTCAGTTTCCTCATCTGTCAGATGGGCTGTTCCCAGCCTCCCAGGCCACTGTAGCACGTATTGTGGAATTGTGGACGAGAATGTGGGGCTGTCAGGGGTGTGCATGAGAGTGATTGACTGTGTCCCAAGATCAGGGTTCAGCTCATGTTCACTGAGCACCCAAGGTCTGATTGTCCCTACCCAAAGTTCCAGGAGAGACTCTGGCCTGCTTTCCACGCAGGCAGGGTAGGCAAATGGACACACGGACAGACAACCACAATGTAGAAAGACAAATGCAGACCATTTTTAATCTTGAACAGCCCCATAAGGAGGGTAGGACAAAGATTTCCAACTCAGGGGGGCAGATGAAGAAATGAAGTCCAGATAGGTCAGGTGAGTTACTCATGGTCACACAGCAATCAGGAGTAGAGATGAGTCTTTCCACCCTAGGGGTACGAGACCTGTCAAGAAGAGTCCTGGGAAAGATGCTTTCCTAAACCCTCCCTGTGCTCAGCCTGGTGCACATTTTCTCTGGCTCACAGTGTACACGGTCCTCTAGTGTAAATTACACGTCCATCTGGTTTGGAACGGCCCAGTCCTGTGTATGAGAAGCAGCTCAAGATTCTGTGAGACTGAAGAAAGAAGCAGCTTGGTCAGGGATTGCACCACGGGCAGCTTACAGGGCGCTGCCAACAAGAGCATTTCCTGGTGTCAACAAGGCAGGGGGGTTCCCACAGCCCAAGGAGGAGGCAGCACTGCACACAGCTCACCAGGCGAAGGTGGGCGGGGACACCTGGAATGGACCTGGCATCTTTCACAAACAACTAGCATGCTTCGACACATTTTAGGGTTGGTGGCCAACACAAGCTGCTCAGCTGCTGCCTGAATGACTGTTTGTCCTGTAAGGCTCGGGATGCATGCCAGGGTCAGCTGGTAGCAACAGTGGCCCATGCATTTCCCATTTGTCTGAGGCCTGGTCCTGGTGCCCAGGCTCAGCTGCCCAGGCAGCAGGATGGGCTTCCACTGGGCCCTGGCCTTGGGGAGCCCCTCTCGGCTCCCCGGAGGAAGCAGCAGATACTGACGTCCCCCTGGGGCAGCCCAGCACTCCACAGGGGCCAGGAGGACTTCCTGGATTTTTGAGGTAGGTCTAGGTCAGAACTTCTAGGCTTGGAAGGAGGCCACAGAGCTTGGGAGAGGGGTCCAGCAGGTTTGTCCTGTTCTAGCAAGATCCTCTGGGATTCCCTAGCTCCTTTGGCCACTTACTCTCCTTGGACCTGGGGAGACGCTAAGGGCAGAGAAGGAACTGGAGCCACAGCTACCCTCCTTTCAGGAACAGGGGTGAGTCCCACGGTCTCCCCAGGTCCCAGCTGGGCGGGGGTTGTTGAAGGTGACTTGACGCTTCGTGGGACTTCTCTGTGTGTCCCTAGTGAGGGGCCAACCCCATCAAGCATCGCCTGCCCAATCGCCTTGCACGCTGGCTGTTAAAACCACAGATCAGGCCCCTCGGCCACCGCTGGCGAGGACCCTGCCTGTGGCTCTCTCAGCTTCTCTCTGTTCTCTTATTCATTTATTTATTATTTGTTTATTTTCGTAGCACTGGGGATTGAACTCAGGAGCAATTTACCACTACGCTACCTCCCCAGCCTTTTTTTGAGTCAGAGTCTCACTAAGTTGCTGAGGCTGGCCTCCAACTTTCGATCCTCCTGCCTCAGCTTCCCGAGTCACCAGGATTATAAACGAGTGTCACTGTGCCCAGCTTTCTCTCTGTGTTACTCTGGCCTCTGAGTTTCTTGACTCTGTCACGGTTTCCTCTACCTGAGGGACTCCAGCATCTTGCTCTGTGTCTTAGTCCGTTTCCTGTTGCTATAACAGAATACCCGAGACAGGGTGCTTTAGAAAGAAAAGTTGATTTGGCATGGCACGGGAGAGGGCCTCCTGTGGCTTCGATTCTTGGGCGTGTGACAGGGGCAAAGCATGAGAGCCTTGCTTCCAAGAGTCTGCTCTCCCTCATGAACCCCCTCCTTCAGGGGAGGCAAGAGGCCCCCTCTCATGGCCTGATCACCTCTTAAAGGCCCCCCAGCCCAGCAACGTGGGTTTTGGGGGGACAAATCACTTTCCAGCCAACACGCTATGCTTTTCCCATCCCACTCCAAGGTGTGTCGGGGATTCTCTTCACCCACCTGGACTGAGCAGGCCCTTAGGACTGTAGCCTGGGGACAGGAGGAGAAAGAGCCTTGGAAACACGCTCAGAGACGCTCTTCTTCCTCACTAAAGTCTGATGTATGTTCCTCTTTGAGACTCCATCCTCCTGCTCCTCCTGGACCAGACAGCGGCCTCTGTATGCCCCTCCCCGACCCTGGGGATCTGAAGCCTCCATCCTCCCCACTTCCTGTCCAGCACTGGCATCCCAGGGGACCAGAGCCTTGCTTCAGGCCCCGGAGGGAAGCTGGTTAGAAGAGGAGCCTGGACTTTCGTGGGTGGGCAAAGGCCTCGAAGGCCCCGGTGCTGTCGGGGCAGGAGAGATGGGGTCTGGGAGGGCCTTCCTGCTACCCAGCATCCAGGGCCCCCATCAGGACGCTGGAGAGAACTCAGGGACAGTCACAGTTGCCTGGGGTATCTGACCAGGAGTGAGAGGCATTCATGAGTGTGTCAGTGAGTGGCTCAGGGAGTGGGTGACTGTCTCGGGACCCCTCCTTGCCCTCCTGCCCCCCAAGTCTTTGCAAATCCCTCCTTAGACTTCAAGAGGCAGCTCCAATATCCCCTCTACCCCTGGACCCTGGAAGATGCAAGGGTGTGTTCATGTGTCCCAACTGATCGTGGTTGTGAGCTTCCCCCAACCAGGAAACCCACCGTTCACCCAGGTGCCCCAGACAGGGCTGAGGACGCTGCCCAGGCTCGGGCACCCAGGATTTCGGATTCTGCGGGGAGTGCAGTGCCAGGTGGAGGTGCAGCGGGATGAAGTGTCCCCTAGAGGGTCTCTGCTGCCCGTGGCCCCCTTGCCCGGGTCATGCTCCCGACCCAAGCCTGGCACTGCGGCCTCCTTCCCACTTAGACCATGAGCTGTTCAAGACCCCGGACCGAGTTCCCGTCTCCAGGTGGCACCCGTGCTGGGTCCTGTGATTTGCTCCTGAGGACCCTGATGACACTATCTGTGTCTTGGCCACCTGGTGCCCCTCAGAGCCTCAGGCCTGTTGGGTTCAGACCCATGAGTGTTGCCCGTGGCCGGCTGCCATCTGAACGTGGAGAGGAGTCACTAGAGGATGTGACTCCAGAGGTCACCGACACCCTGAGGGGCTGGCCTTGATCTAGCCCTGAAGGGTGGAGGGCTTCAAGGAGGGGCACCTGCCAGGAGAGGGGCTGTTCAAGACTGTCCAGCAGAGGGGGCAGCACTGGTGTGACAGAGACAGAGGGTCTGGCCGAGAATGGTGGATTCTGGGTGGGTCTGGCAGGTACCAGGGGCCCGTCAGGGAGACCCTTAATTCCGAGGAGGAGGTCTGGGTGGCTCCCTCCAGGCTCTGGTGCAGGGATCGGGAGCAACCGCCGTGGAAGGGCTGGCAGGAGGGTGGACACCCAGGGCTGGGCTTGTCAGATCTGGCCAGCAAAGGACAAATGTCATTCCCTGCCCTGCCCCAGTGCCCCCCTACTGAAGAACTGTGGGAAGCCATTCTCGCACGTGATTGGGCACCTCCCGGATTGGGTGTGAGGCGCTCTGGCCAACTGTGCCGGAGCTATCCCCACCCTCTCCAGGTGCGAGAGCCTGTCCGTGTGGGGGGGTGACTGACCACTGACCCTGAGGCCAGTCACTGACCCTGACCTTGGAATGCTGCCCCCCTCGACCTTCATTGGATGGAATTTTTCCCTGAATTTCTTGTTCCCCAATAAAAGGCCACTCCCTGGCGTGCTCTCTCTCTCTCTCTCCTGCTAGCCCTGAGTAAGCCTTGCTGCCCTACCGGGTGGTGAGAGGTAAGAGCCAGAGAGGTGAGAGCCGTCTCGGACCTGGTCATAGAAAAAGGTCATTGAGTCTGGGTGTTTTATTTTGATCTCACTAGTTAACTTCTATGCCACGAACCTCTTTAATGAAACCAGCGTGCTGGTCGCCTGGTGGAAAGAACCACCTCGCCGCTCCTGGACACAAAATTTTAATGCCATGGGCCTCCGTCTCCCTACGCGCACCCTGACTCCATGCAGATGGACAGAGAGGCTGGGTTCAGCTGCAAGCCCGGTCAGGGCCTCCTGGTTGGAGACCCAGGCAGCTCCAGGATCCCTAGCCCAGGCTCTGCAGGAAGTCCACCAGCAGGTGCTCCGGGAAGCCAAAGTCCATTTGCAGCAGCAGAAAGCCCTGGAGAGAGCAGCAGGCTAACTGGCCCCAAGGCCACCAGGAGGCACTGGGCGCGCCCCTCTGCCCATCTCCCCAGCAGCCGCCAGTCACCCCAGGGAAGCCCTCTGGGGCTGCGTCCCCAGGAGGTGGGACCGTGCACTCACATCACGAGAGATGATCTCAGGGTTGATGATGTCGAAGAGGTCCAGGCCCTTGCTGTTCATGAGCGCTGTAAATGTCACCTCGAGCCCTGGGGCAGGGAGGGAGCCCCAGTCAGCCCTTCTTGGGGAGCAGGCCCAGCCCCAGGCTTGTGGGAGACGTTGGGACCAACATTCTGTGAATCTGCCCTGCTTAGCCGACCCTGGGGAGCAGCCATCACTCCCAGGCCTGCTCTGGGGGTCACGCCTCCCCTCACTGATCTTCCAGGTGCTCTTTGCCACCACACAGAGCAGTCGCCCCAGCAACCCAGCTCAGTCCACCCCCCATTTTAGCTCCATGATACAGATGGGGAAAACTGAGAGACGGAGACAGTCAGCCAGGGTGATTCCTGTTTCTACTCTTCTCCTCTTGAACAAGCAGATATTAAAAAATGAAGACCGGCCTGTCCCCTATGCCCATGGGGAACAGGGCACAGAGCTCTCGGAAGGTCCTTGTCCAACGCACACCCCCTTACTCTGTGCCAGTGTCTCAGATTCCACCATTAAAGTCACTGCAGAGGGACAAACATCCTACAATGTCAAGATCCAAAGGGAATCTGGGGACCATCAAGTCTGACTTCATTTCATAGGAAGGGAAACTGAGGCTGGGGTACAACAAGGTCACACCCTCCAGCTGTCAGGCCCAGCCTTCTCTCTGCCGTTGACAGTGGGCTCAGCCGCCATGTGGGTGGCAGTGGTAATGTTCTCAAGGGGAGCCAGAATCAGGGGTCCATGCATCTGGCCAGGTCAGTGGCCTGCATTGCCACCAACAGGGAGAGGTACCTTAGGGAAGGGACGCAGGACCCCTAAGTGTCATGGCTGGAGAATCAGAGGCCCCGGGGGCTGCCTGGGAAGGGGTGGGGCCTCTGCACTCCGCCATCTGAGAGGTGTGGGGACAAAGTCAAGTGTGACCCGCACCCCAACCTCTCCGCCTGGCCACACTTACGAGTCATGACCTCAGGGATGCCCACCGTGGAGACCATCGACCACAGGAAGTTCTGGACAGACTTGAAGTTGCTCTGTCAATCAGAAAGGCCCATGGTGAGTGCTCCCTGGGAGCCCAGCAGTGACCCATGGGTGGATGGCCACACAGTCCACGTGAGCATTCATTCAGGTGCCCAAGAAAAAAGACATCCCAGCCAGCCTTCGCCTGCTGCCTCCTTCCTGCGAGGTCCTTCCGAGGCCCTGGGGAGGGTGGGGGCTGTTATCCCATTCACAGGGGGAAAACTGAGGCCCAGGGAGAGGCCCCATGGCCAGGACTCTCCCGCCTCCTCAGTCCACACTACCACGACCCCATTTCTGCAACATGAGAGCTCTCCCCGCAGACACAGCGGGAGGAGGGTCACAGGTGACTGGGAGGGGACATATGGGCCATTTCTTTGGGTTTTGTTGGTTTCATTTAGGGACCTCTTCCTGCTTTCTTCAAGGCATGAGGCCCTACAGACTTATCTCCCAAGCCCACCTACCTCATCGATGCTGGAAGTAGACTTGGGTTGAGTCCTGAAATCAAAAAGAGACGGGAACTGGGCCCTCCGTTGGGCTCCTTTCTGGAACACGCCCCCCAGAAAAGAAACCCTAGGAATCTAGGTGCTTCTGCCCAATACTTAAGGCCCTCAGTAAGAAAGGCCTTTGGAATACTGTCCCAAGGTTTGCCATTTCAGCCGGGCACGGTGGCACACACCTGTAATCCCAGTGGCTGCGGCAGGAGGATGGCCAGTTCAAAGCCAGCCTCAGCAACTTAGCGAGTCCCTGAGCCACTCAGTAAGACCCTGTCTCTAAATAAAATACACGACAGGGCTGGGGATGTGGCTCAGTGGTTCAGTGCCTCTGGGTTCAGACCTCAGTACCAAGAAGAAAAAAAAAAAAAGATTTTGCCATTCCAGATGCCAGACCTGAGCTCAGGTCCCCTCCCCTCTGCTGGGCCCTCCGTCATTCCCTCCCGTGGTGTCTCTTCCTCCTCATCTAGACTCTAGGGAAGGTCTCTCCCTGTGGTCGAGCCAGAAGTCTGCACTTCCCCACCAGGACCCAGTCCCCCCGCCACCCCCAGCCCCGACTGCAGAGTCGGGACCAGGTTGGCTGAGCTGCTGCCCCCCCCCTCTGCAGCACCTACTGGAGATCCAGGAGGTGCAAGGACAGCTTCTTCTTGGCATAGGAGGCCTGGATGGTGGTGACGATGTCCTGGGGGGAGAAACCAGATCTGCTGTGAGCCAGGGGCTTCCCGAAGCAGAGAGCAGCCCTCCTGTCTGGGGCTCCCGACGGCACGGGGCAACCAGATGGACAGGTGTGGAGAGCTGGGGTCCCGGGATCCTGGGGTGGAGCTGAACTCCTGGTCTTCTGAAAAGAGCGGGAAGGCCGGGCGTGTGACCCGGGGCAGAGGGCTTGCACAGCAGCTCCAGGGCCTGCGCTTCCTCCCCAGCATCAAACCCAGGCCAAACCTGCGCAAGTCCCCAGCACCTGCAGTGTCGGCCTAGGACCCCGAGTCCCGCCGGCACTTCCTGTCCTGGTTTCTGATTTACCCATCCCCAGTCTCCTCGGGCTCGTTAGTCAGAAACCACAGAGGAGCAGGACTTCCCCGTGCGGCTCGCTTCTTCCACCTCCAGAGGGAAGCCGCGTCGGGGCACCTGAGGATTCCTCTGCCTGGGGTGGGATTGACCTGCATTTTCACACTTTGGACGTCAGACAGTGCCACTGCTCCTGTGTGGTCCCCTGACCAGCAGCGTCAGCACCAGGAGGAGGATCGTGTTGGAGATGCAGACTTTCAGGCCCTGCCCCAGACCTACCAGCAGAGACCCTGCAGATGGACCCAGGAATCTGCTTTCACAGCCTCCCCAGGGGATGCCCACGCCAAAGCAGGAGACCTGTGGCACCAGGCGACTCTCAAGCAAACTGATGTTGAGTTGAAGTTGCTCTAGCACTTCCTGAAGCACACATTTTTATTTTATGGTGCTGGCCAAAAGTAGAGGTTGTCACCATTTGACTCGGTTATCCCACCCCTCGGCATATACCCGTAGGACTTAACATCATCCTACCACCGTGAGGCAGCCACATCAACGTTTATAGCAGCCCAAATCAAAATAGCTAAGCTATGGAACCAACCCAGGTGCCCTTCAAGGATGAATGGTAAAGAAACCGTGGAATATAAACACAATGGAATATTACTCAACCATAAAGAAGAATGAAATCATGGTATTTGCTGGTAAATGGATGGAACTGGAGACTCTCATGCTAAGTGAAGTAAGCCAATCCCCAAAAACCAAATGCCAAATATTGTCTCTGATAGGTGGATACTAACACACAATATGGGGGCAGGGATGGAAGTTCATTGGATTAGACACAAGGGAAGGAAGGGAAGGGAGGGGGGAATGGGAATAGGAAAGACAGTGGAATGAATCAGACATAAATTTCCTATGCTCACATATGGATACACGACCAGTGAAACTCCCCATCACGTACAACCAAAAGAAAGGAATCCTAAATAAGAATAAGTCATACTTCACGTATGTAAAATATGTCAAAATACACCCTGCTGTCCTGTGTATCAAAAAAAGAACAATAAAAACAAAGTAGAGATTATTCAGTCTTTTGTTCGGCGAGCTAGTTATTCTCTGCCTCTGCCCATTACGCTGTGAGCTTCATGCAGACCACAGGGCCTGGCCCAGAGGAAGAATTTAACAGATGTTGTTAAAAATCCATGAATGGATGAATGTTCTGGGGCTGCAGAAACTACTGACTCAATAAAAATGTGACGTGTGACCTTGAACAAATGACCTGCCGGTTCTCCCTTTGAAGAGGCCTCTGTCTGGTAAAGGGGTGGCCTGGTGGATCCTTGGGGGCAGCTCCCACCAGGGCCCCCCGTGGGTCACCTGCCCTGGCTCTCTCCTGGCCCCTGGAGAGCTGGCTGACACTTATTTCTGGAAAAGCCCCCTTCAGCTCCACCTGATCCCACCCTGGCTGACAGCTGATGTTCACCACCAGATTCACAAGTAAGAAGAGAGGTTTTGGGGTGGGGACAGAGACAGGAGAGGATTACTGGAAAAGTTGGGAGGGGTGAAACAGGATACCCGGGGAGGAGGTGTTTGTTGTGTTTGCAAAGATTCTCTGCTTGACCAAAATTCAGGGAGGCTCCAGAACCTTCTCCTAGGACCACGATGTGTTGCCTATAAATGAGTTTTTGCAAGAACACCGCTAAACCAGTCTAGCAAGAATCCCCACCTTCAGTATCTGATCAGCCTCATCTTTGATCTGGTTTCTGATCCCCCACGTGGCCCACGGGATATCTGGACCAGCTTCAGCAAGAATCCTGTTAGGTCCCTTTCCGTCGCAGCTCCTTAGCCCAGAGGTGCCCTCTCAGGGCACCCTAAGACCCCCTGCGGTGGTCCTTGTCCTTATCATCCCCACAGGCTGAACAAAGCCTTAGCTTTCACAAGTATTGCAAAAGTATTGAATGCGTTTTTCTGAAATTTTCGGATTCTTCAATAACAAACAATAAGTAAAGAAAATGAGATAACACGAAATTTTAAGAGATTTTCAAAAAGGTAAATACCACATGCTCTCCTGGATTGGCTCTTGGTACAGAAAAGGGGCATCAGTGCAAAAACTGGTGGGAGCCCGTCTGGAGTCTGGTCCTGATAGTGTTCCTCACTCAGGGCTGAGTCACAGCCCATGGGGTGGGTTCTGAGAGACATCAACCACAGGGAAGCCAGGAGGACAGCAAGTGACCCCTCTGCATGTCTTTACAACTTTCATTCAAATCTGAAATTCTTCCAAAATAAGAGGTTGATAAAAAATAAAATACCAAAGGGAACTCTGCTCCATTTGTCCCTTGTGGGTGGCTGAGGGCAAAGTACTTCAGGGAGTGTGGTTCTCTTCTTTAGATTTCTCTATTTTCCAGGGTGTGCCTGTCTTATCTTTATCTTTAGTTTCTAATGTACTAAGAAAGTTTGAGAAGCTGGGTGTGGTGGCGCACGCCTGGTACCCCAGCAACTCGGGAGGCCGAGGCAGGAGGATGGCAAGTTCAAGGCCAGCCTCAGCAACTTAGTGTGAACTTGTCTTAAAATAAAAAGGTCTGGGGATGAAGAAAGAAAGAAAGAAAGAAAGAAAGGAAGGAAGGAAGGAAGGGAAAAGGAAAAGGAAAGAAGTATTAAGGACACAGAGAAGAACATCAGGGATCACGTGGAGCTTCAATTCTTTATCTACAATCACAAAATCAAATAAACTCTGCAAACTGAAAGCCGTTTTTGTTTGTTTTTTAAGTGTGTGGCCAAAGCCTGGCTGTCCCAATGGGAGGCCTTGGATAGTGTATTTATCTTGCTTCTTTTGAGCATCCGGGCGTGTGGATTGTGGAGTTCCCCCCGCCCCGGCCCCTCTAGAGTGTTCCTCTCACGCACTGCACTGCTTTTCTAAAACACACAAAGTTTTGAATCTGGAAATCCACGTGGCCTAATGGATTTGGGAGGAGGAACCCCCGGGCCTGGCGTGCCACGGAGCCACACACAGAGGTGGGGAGATGGATTTGGAGACATCAGAGGCCCCTGTCCCCTGCCCTGGATGGCCAGGTCCCTGCCCCTCCCCCCTGCACCCACCTCACCTCTTCAAAGGTATGAGCCAGAGCAGTTTGGCCATCCGGGTGGGGGAAGAGGAATTTCACCACCACGGAGGAGGTGACCACGACGCCCTTGTTCTGACAAGAGATCTTGGGCCTCTTCGGGCAGTAGACGATCACTTGGGTCTGGCTGGTGGGGATATTGCCGAATAGCTGTGGGAGACAGGGGTGGGGGACAGGGGCCATTAGAAGAGCTGTCACTGATGCCCTCAGCGAGGGAAGGGATGAAGCTGACTCGGGTGTCCCAGGGCTGCGAGAAGAGGAAACTGCTGGGGCAGAGGCTCCGGCCCCAGGCTGGGTTCCAACTCTGGAAATCCTAAGCTGCACCACTTCACAAATCTGCCAGTTAACTGAAAAATTAAGACTCTTGTCTCTTCTGACCATTGGGTTTTTTTTGTCCCCCATGTACTAGTGAAGCTGTTCCTTGCCCTGTCTCCTCTCAAGGGTGGGAAGGACGCCTTTGTGCTCCGGCTTCACCTGTACCCTGGGGATAACGGTTCCTGCCTCAGAGGACGGTTATGAGGATTAAATGAGATAATTCAAGAAGGAGCTGAGACTAGGTCCTGACACACGGTGACCCTCTCTTCTAAAAATATCCATGGATTCCCCACTAGGCTTCATCCCTGGGCCAGAAGTATAGTCACAGCAGAGAACCAGACAGACCAGCAAAGCTCAAATTTATCAGATGATTCCAAAGCTAAATGCAAAATTTCAACTGAGAGGCAGTTTAAAGGAGAGATGGACCAGGTTGTGGCCCCAAAGCCCTCAAGAGGAGATCTGATCTGTATCCAGGAAGGTGGGAGAGGCCTTCCCTGAGGATGAGGAGGAGTCAGATGGGACAGGGGGAGGGAAAACCCTTCTAGACAGAGAGGACAGCACATGCAAAGGCCCTGTGGAAGGGACTGGCCAAAATAAGGACTGGACAGGTGGCGAGTGAGGCTGGAAGTGGCAAGTAGCCTGAGATCGGCCTCACCTGCCTGCAGGAGAGCCCGTGGGACTGGGCTCAAGGAGACCTCCACCCAGGAACCCACGGACCCAGTGGATGCTTTACAACAAAACATTTTATTTAATACATGGCCAAGCTCAAAAGAAAGACAGGGCCAACCCCAGGTCTCAGAGAGGGAGGAATATTATAAGGCAAAGCTATAAGCAGTGTGGCCCAGACAGTAGGATGTGGCTCCAGACCACACTGTCCTGGGTTTTATGTCCTGAGAGAGAGAAAGAGCAGCGAGAGGCAGAAGAGGAACCAAGTCATTTCCACTCAGTGAAAAGGAGACTAAAAATCTTCCCTTGTTTAAGAATGTCCCGGGGAGTGTTGGAGGGAGGCGAGAGGGTGTCAATCAAAAGGCTGGGCCAGGCTCAGCAGGACTGAAGGTTGATTTATACGGCAGGGCGTCCTGAGCTGCGTGATCATGTCACATCCAAGACTAACACGTGACGTAGTCCTGAGGGCTCCCAGCAGAAATAAATACCAAACTGTCTTCTTAGGGAATTTAGGTTCATCCAGGGCACAGCTGTCCACGGAAAAATCATATTCCACCAAAGACGAGCTCGTGGACAGACAGGAATGGCAATCCACACAAGGAAACCACCCACCATGGGGGGTCGCCAGCAAACCCACAGGCAGGAGGGTGAGGTCCCAAGAACCAGACACAGTAGAACAACCTGGCGGAAAGTCCCAAGTAACTTTTTAAAAAAACGATTAGAGGAAAGAGCCACCATGAAATGATGGCACTCTGGGGTGGGAGAGAAGAGAGATTTTAAAAACCAAACTCAAAAAGTTATTATAAATAAAAGTTATTGAGGTTAAGATGGAAAACTCAGTGGGTGGATAAATGGGTATGACCTAGCTGTAAAGAAAATTAATGAATCGGAAGAAATGTCTGGAAAAACTATCCGGAATTTAGGAATTTTGCACAGAAATATCAAAAGATGAAAAAATATGTCAGAGTAACTAACAGATATAGAAGATGGAGAGAAGGTCCAACCTGCGTCTAATTCAAGGAGGCGAGAAAACAGAGTAGAGGTAATAACTGAAGAGATGGAGACCGAGCCGTTCTCAGAGGTGAACCATGACGCTGTGTCTAAAACAACTAGGTTGAGAGTAGACAGGGGCCAGGCAATACGGGATCCCCGAGGCCAGCGCACAGAATCTCGCCATATCCCGCGACCCTGGTCCTTTATCTTTGATGAGTTGTGAGCTGGCAGGAAGGTGATCAGTTTTACTTCTCGAATAGATTGTTCTATTGACCTCCTTAGAGAACAGATGGTCAGGGATATCAGGATTCAGGAGGACTCCCTGCAGAGGGAGCCCTCCAGGAGATAATGGTAGCCAGGTCCAGGGGGAAGGTGGAGACAGAGAGGTGGACAGACCCTACCAACAGTGAGGATGTCTGATGGACAGGACTCAGGAAGGGGGATGAGAGAGGAGGGAGGGCAAGGACACTCCAGGCTCCGAGCTGCACACACGGAAGGAAGCGAGGCGTCTGCAGGGCTGGGAACGGGGTGGGGGGGGGGGGCAGATCTGAGGCTCAGAAGGAAGAGAGGCCATGTCCACGAGGACACAGAAGGGGAAGAGCTGGAAGAAGGAAGCTGAGGGACGAGTTTCACTGGGGCCACTGCCCAGCTCTGGGGAAGTAGCGTAGCAGTGGTCACCAGGCAGTTACTGAGTTGGTGAGGATGGGGGTGGCCGAAGGCTGGGCGAGGGGCAGCTGGAGGTTCAAGGATGGTGGGGGAGGATGAAGTCACTGCAGTGGGCGGGGCGAGCGAGACCAGAGGCTGGGGGCAGTTTGCCCAGAGACAGCGAGGATCTGCTCAGGCCAGGGACCGGGGATTCACAGTGGAACCTCCCACGGAGAGAGGGACTGTGGACATCATTGCCACTCGGCAGAGCAGGCAGAGGCTGTGACCCCCAAAGAGTCTGCCCGAGGTTGGCTTTGGGATCAGGGATGACCAGTGGCCTCATCCTCTCGCCAGGGCCCTCCAAGCCTGGGGTGATCCTGGGCGTCCAGCCTCCCGCAAGGCCCAGTGGCCTGGGTAACAGAGCACGGTCCTCGGGGCCGTGACAGCTGGCTCTGACCCAGCTCTGCCATTTGCTGCATTCCCCTGTGTGTAGATGGGGACCATGGCCGTGCCTCACCCCAGGGTTGTCGTGAGCGTGGCAGGAAGTCACATGCAGAAAGGGTCCAGCTCGGGGCCCTGGATGGAGCTCAGGCCGAGCTGTCCTGGTCACCACTGCTGCTGTGGCTGGCTGAATAGGGACTTCTGAAGCAAAAGTAGAATCGGGGTACAGAGACGAACCCCAGCAGCAGGGCAGTTACCTCCAGAAACATGTCCTGGTTGGTGTTGAAGCCGTGGGTCTCCAGCACTGCCTGAAAGAGAGGGGCCAGAGATGGCCAGGGGGTCAGTCCTCACAAGGAAACCGCAGGGATGGGGTGAGAGGCCAGGGCCTGACCCCTCCCCAAACCAACTCCCGACCCCCCCCACATGATCTGACATGCTCTGGGCAGGTGGGGTGCAGAGGACCCCTGACCTGACTGGAGGCCACACCGTCTACATGACCCTGGGGAAGTCTCTTCCCTTGAGGCTTCAGTTTCCCCATGAATTTAATGACAGGCATGGACTGGGGACCACGTAAGCACTTCTGGTATGGAAGAGTGCAGATTGGAGCCACCTCGTCCAAGCTGTGTGTTCTTGGACAAGTTATCTACCCTCTCTGAGCTTTGTTGTGTTTTTGTTGTTGGAAAATGGAGGTAGTGACAGTACTTACCCCACGGAGTGAGCGCAGCCAAAATACATTCAACACAGATAGTAATGGCAGCTCACGTTCATGGCTCAGTTCCCGTGTGGCAAGCATCTGCCTATTTAACTACTGATTCCTCAATTGATGGGTCAATCCACCCAACACACAGTAGGTCCCAATCAATGCTGAACTTCAGGGTCATGGCTGCAGCTCGGATGGTTCCTGGCTCCTCTGGTGCCCCCAGAATCTCCTCCGGGCTCCTCCGCTGGGGGCACGCATGCCACCCACCCACCCAGGGACGTCCTGGCAGCCACCTGCCCCTCACCTTGAACTCCTCCCCGGTCAGGCTGAGCCTGAGGCGTCCATCCTGGAAGGCGGCCCTGGCCAGGGAGTCGAGGACTTGCTCTGAGAACCAGAAGTAGAGCATGCGGGCGTCCCCCAGGAGGCTGGGCGAGAAGGTGGGCAGCGGGAGGTCCTCGGAGACGTTCTTGTAGATGAAATGACCCTGGAGGAAGCGGGGGATGCTGGCTGCCCCTCCCCTGTGTCCCTGCTGGAGCGGCTCCAGGGACACTGAGAGGAGCCGTGGGGAACACCCAGCCCAGAGGAGCGTGGGGAGTCGAGAAAGAGCTGCCCCTGGCCGGCTCCCAGCCCAGCCTTCCTTGCTCAGGGTTCATCCCGAGGCTCTGCTCTGTTCCCAGCACCGGGCGAGGTGACCCAGCAGACGTGTCACCACCCTCAAAGCCTGACATTCCAGGAAGGACCGCAGGCAGAGCTGTGGTGGCCCTGGGCCTCTGTGCTCTGTGACCAGGACAGCTGGCCAGCCTGAGCGCCGTCCTGCACCTTCTGGGACCAGGGGATGGACAGGGAGCCCCACAAGTGGCAATCGGAAGTCAGGCCCCTGCCCGGCGCCTGCTCCTCTAGCCCGCGAGGGGTGAAGGGGTTTCGCGGGCGGCCACCAGCTCCCTGAAATGTTCCTTTGCTCACTTTTCTGGGGACAGGCTCCATCACAGACAGGCTGCTGGTTCTCTAAACCCACCACTGCAGAGTTCTGTGACACCCCGTCTTTGACCAGGTCACAGGGGCCTGGGGTACACTTCTTTGCCTTCCTTGCAGCTAGGACCATGTGACGGAGGTCAGGCCACTGGATGTGAGCAGAGTGTGGGGTGACCAGCCAGCAACAACACAGAGCCTGCATGCCCAACAGCATGGCGCTGCAACCCCCTGCGCTGCTCGCGGTAGCCACTCTGAGCAGGAAGTGAACGTCTGAGGGTTCAAGCTGCTGTTACTCTGGGCATCTTCCTTACAGCAGCAGAACCTAGTCCTAAGTAGCTGTGGTAGAGCTTCCCAGATGCCCCAAGGGGCCTTGGCTTCTCCACACCCAATGGAGGATGCTGGAAGCCAAATAAGCCTTCTAGAAGGAGCTGGTGCTTTGCGAGGTCCCTGGGAGGGGAGGGTCAGCACAGAGGGTCAGACACAGAAGCTACCCCCCACCCCTGCCTTGCCACACCAGGGGACACCTGAAGAGGTGCAGCAGAAGAATGTGTGGCTTCCCCAGGCTGGGGGCAGTGTGAGCAGGACACAGGTAAGGACGGAGGCTGAGGAGCACCCAGGAGGGGAGCCCTGCCACCCCCACCTTGTGGTGTGACTCCAGGTGGGCTGCTGTGATGTCAGGGGGTCCTGTCAGGGAAATGTCCACCCGGATGTCTCCAGAGGAGAGGATGCTGGCTGCGGGGAGAGAAGGGCAGGCTGGAGCCCAGGATGAGAGCTGCCTGGTGCAGGGGTCCCCCAGCCCCCCACAGGAGCCCCGCCTCCTGCCCAGTGCTCCCGGGTAAAGTGGGTCCTGGGGGCACTGGGGGCACTTTTCATTGTCTTTTCCCAGCGCCTGTCGGTCTGGTGTCTGTTGGCTCCACCAGCAGGAGTCCTGGACGCTGGTTCCCTGCGGGAGGCCCAGGCTGGAGCCCCAACCTGCCCTGGGGGGGCTGGACGGCAGGAGCCGGAGCCGGACCTCGCGGGTTCCTGTCCTCATCCCCAATGGCACCATCTACCCCAGGGCTGTGTCTTTGTGGGGTCAGGGGTCAGCAGACATTCTCTATAAGCCACCAGAGGGTAAGCGCCCACTACGATCCCAACTGTGCGCAAAAGTGCCCCCCCCAGGTGAGTGGGCGTGGCCACGTGACAATCAAAACTTTACAAAAGCAGACGATTGTGTTTCCCAGCAGGGAGCGACAGCGACACCGCCATAGTCCCCTGCGGTGTTTCCCAGCCTGGAGCAATTGGGCCTGGGGCGCAGGGCCCGCCCTCGCGCCTCCCTGGGCCTGCGTTCAGCACCTTGCTGGGGAGACCCTGGGCCAAGGCGCCTGGTGGGAGGCCAGCGTGGTCCCCCGCCCAGCCCCGCCCGCACCCCGGTTCCCGTCCAGGTGCAGGGCCGGCGCTGGCCACTCAAGGCAGGCCGGGAGCGGGATGCCCACCACGCCCCTGGCCCTGCCTGGAGGCTCCCCTCTCACCACCCTGCAGCCACCCGGAGGGTCCCCTGATCTGGGGTTTCACTGTGACTGAAGCTTCCCTGTTCACTGAGCACCTACTCGGTGCCCGGGACTCGTCAGCTGGCCTGGCGCAGTGGCTGCGGCAGCAGCGGGAAACCACTGCAGGGCCCACGCTCAGGTGCCTCTCCTCTGCTTCTGGATTGGGGGCCTCGTGGGCCCATAAATCAGTAAGACGGGGTTGGTGGTTCCCTCCTCCCCGGGTCACTGGGGCTGTTGCATCCGGGAGAGCAAGTTCAACAAACAGCCGTGCTCTCCCCGGGCGTTCCTGGGGAGCACAGAGCTTCCCACTCTCAGGACACTCCTCTTCTTGTCTTGGGTGCCTTCCAGGGGCCCAGGGATGTTCCCATCGGACAGATGACAAAACTGAGGCCTGAGTCTGTCCTTCCTCCCTTTCCTTTTTTGGAACTGGGGATTGAGCCCAGGGGCACTCTACCACTGAGCTACATTCCTGGCATTTTTAATTTATCTTTTTGTTTTGAGACAGGGTCTCACTAAGTTGTGGAGACTGGCCTTGAACTCTCGATCCTCCTGCCTCAGCCTCCTCCATGGCTGGGATGACAGGTGTGCACCACTGAGCCCAGCTAAGTCCTCTCTTCTCCACTGCAGAGCCCCCCCTGGGATTGGAGGGAAGAGGCCCGGGGAAGGGCGGGGGAGTGCTCCACCTACATCCTGCCCTCCTCCTCCTTATCTTCTATCCATGTTCTTGAAATGTGTTTGACACTGAGCTTGGTGCTCGGGGTACGGGGTGCTGATTAGGGCTGGTGATGGACAGAGTTCTGTCTTATGCTTCATCCATACTTTTTTTTTTTCCACCTGAGTCTCATAGTCACTCTGTGAGGTAGGTGCTATTATCCCCTTTTTACTAATGAGGAAAATGAGGTTCAGAGAGGGTAAGTCCCTGGCTCAAGGTCACACAGCTTATGAGATGGCAGCTTCAAGGGAAGCAACTTGCCGTAGCCACACTAATCACCAGTGCCAGAGCCAGACAGGGACCAAGAGAACCAGCAGGGGAGTGACTGTCCAGAATCACACAGCGACTGTGGTCATTTTCTGTTCCCACCACTGCCTTCTGAGGCACACAGACAGAACTCACCGGCCCTTGTCTGGACAAAGTCGGCCATGATGTTGGAGATGGCGTTGATCTCTTTGCAGATCTGGCGTGGACAGAGCAGGCAGCTTATCAGGCAGGGAACTAGGCCAGAGAGGAGGCAGGGTGTGCCTCCCTCAAGCTGTGTGTGGGTGGCAGTGCTGGGAATGGGCACAGGGGCCTGGCTACCTTGGGAAGGTAGGAGGGGCACCTTCTCAGGGAAGGGCAGGAGGGGAGGTGGGTCTGCTCCCAGCCCCGACTCCGGACCACGGGTGCCACAGCTGCCCCACTCACCTGCCCCTTCAGGACCAGCCTCAGAGTAAAGGAGATGACGTTTGTGAACAGCTGCTGGATCCAGCTGGGCCTGAGGCAGTAGCAAGAGCTAGTGAGCCTCCAGCCGGTCCTGAGCGTCTGCCGAGCGCCTCCTGTGTGCCTACCTTTGGGTCTCTGCTGGCCTCAGAATCCTCAGAGAGCTCAGGAGGTGGGGATTATTGTCCCAATTCACACTGAGATCACTGAACCCCAGACATGAGCATGAGCCACATCATCACCTCAGAATTCCTCAGGAGGGCCCATGTCATGTGTCTGCTCCCTCAAACCAGCCTGCAGGTCTCCCCTGCATTCCAGGTTTGAGACTGGGGCCTCCCTGAGCCTCAGCATCCTCCTCTGTGCCATGATACTATTCCTAGCTCCCTGACAAAGGAGACTGGCCAAGACCAAGAACCTCTCAGGTGGGGAAGCAGGAGCTCAGGTCCTGGATCAGAGGGTGCTGCTCCCACCCCCCAGTGGTGACCTGTGTGTCTGGAGCGAGTTCCTGAGCTTGGCTGCAGCTTTGTCTGTGGTTTGATGGGGGTGACTGGGGTGTAGGAGGCAGGGGTGGACACGGAACGTTCCTTTCCTTCCTAACCCCAGGCCTCGGTTTACCCATATGTGAAAATGGGGGTAATAACAGAGTCTGTCTCCTAGCACTGGATTGGGTGAGCATCAAATCAACTCAGCGAAGCTTTCACAATCACTCTCGGCCTGTTAATGTTCTCAACAACTGCTAGTCTCCATTCTTGGAGGTTATATGGATGGGGAGGGACTGAAAATGGCCCCACCCAAGGTACCGATGGCCCCAAGTTGGGTAGTCCACAGGCATGCCCTATGGGGGACCCTGGAGGGGGCACGGGCTCATCAACAGGATGGGATGCAGGTGGGAATGGGGCTCAGCAGTGGGGATGGGGGTGCCGGGGCCGTGGACTTACTTATGCTCTCCTTGGAGGTACAGGAGCAGCTTATGGAAAGACAGGTAGCAGTTGGGGGCACTGGTGCGCACTCTGCCAGAGTCAGAGGCTGCAGAGAGGCCCCAGTGTCACATCAGGGCAGCCTAGGCTCCTGGGCAGTGCCCACGGGGTGCCCAGCCCAGCTAGGAGCCCCTTCAGCTCCAGGCGCCCCAACCCTGCAAACTTCCCCGGTTGGGCCTCCTTCCGGCCTCAGAACCTCCGACGGCCCCACCTTCCCTTTCTGCTGAGACCAAGCCCTGGAGCCCGGCCTCCCCGCCTCCCCAGAGGGAGCCGGATGCCTACTCAGCTGGGTGCTGATCTGGAGGTCCGTGGAGGAGTCGATCTCGAAGTCAACAGAGTGATTGACGCTCAGCCTGCAAAGAGCCAAGGACCCAGGACCCTCGTCCTGCCCTGTGACACTCACAGGGCCCTGGAGGGGGCACGTCAGCTGACGGGCGTGCTTACCCCCAGGCGCTTGTGTAACCGTAGCTCAGGGTCCCCCGGATGGTCACTGATGCGTTCTGGATGGAGATGTCGATGGACCTGGCCTCCACCAACTCCACGTGGCTGCTGGCCATGGACAGGTGGCCGATCTGGATGCTGTGAGAGCCACGGGAGGGAGGAAGGAAGGCCGTGGCAAGGTCAGGGAGGGGCCAAGGGGGACGCTGTGGTTATAACAAAGCTAAAGACCTTGAGGCAGGTGGGGGGTGCCCCTAGGCCACCTGGGTGGCTGCAGTGTCCACAGGATGCTGGGAAGCAAGAGTCAGGAGGAGAGATGGGACACACCACCAGGGAGGACGGCCGGAGATGCACCTGGGCAGAGTTGGAGATGGGGGGGCCCAGGGCCCAGGCCTGGGGTGGCCTCACAAAGACAAGGAAAGAGTCTCCCCAGCACGGCCAGAGGGAGCCCGGCCCTGCTGACACCTGGATTTTTAGCCCAGTGCGACCTGTGTCGGATTTTAACATAATAAACACGTGATGTCTGAAGCCACCAAACTCTGGGGATTTGTTATGGCAGCCAATAGGAAATGAGAAGAGTGGGCCTCAGCAGGCCCGGAGAGGGGAGCCAGGCCTTGAGCTTGGGTAGGCAGGACATGGTCAGAGTGGGGCTCGGGAGCACCCTGAGGGAGAGAACAGGGAACCGAGTTGGCCGGTGGGACACTCCAGACCCGCATGCGCTCTGCCCACCCTGGCTCTGACGTGTGCCAGCGTGAGCCTGTGGCTGAGAGCACATGCCTGAAGCAGGTCCTGAGGGCGGCTTCCCTGCTCTGTGCCCACCGCAGCCCCCGACGTGGTCACCGCGGCTGTCCCCACTGAGCAGATATGGAAATGGCTCAGAGAGTGTACGTGACTTCAGAAGGCCTCTGGGATTTGATCCTGGGCCTGTCAACCCCAATCCTGTATCATGAGCCACAGTGACATACTGTGACCAACTGTGAAAGCCAGCCCCTGCTTCCTCTGTTCATCCTTTCCACTGCCTTCTACTCCGGAGACAGAGCAGCAGAAAGGATTCTCATTGCGCCAGGGGCGCTGGCACACGCCTGCCATCCCAGAGACTCGGGAGGCTGAGGCAGGAGGATCAAGAGTTCAAAGCAGCCTCAGCAACTTAGCCCTAAGCCACTCGGTGCCACCCTGTCTCTAAATAAAATACAAAAAAAGGGCTGGGGATGCGGCTCAGTGGTCAGGTGCCCCTGAGTTCAACCCTCTCTGGACCCGTCATCACTCCAACCAACACCAACATCAAGCATGGCCACCACGGCTGGCTCTCCCCCACGCTCGCCGGATGGCCAGCAGTAACACCGGATCCCCCGGGTGGCCTGGCCATCTGAGTCCCTACTGGTTTCTTGGGCTGGGATCTCTGAACCGCTCCCACGCACTTCTGCTGTCCCTGAGCCCAGGGACAAGGATCCAGGTTGGTATTATCCTCGTTTTATGGAAGGGGAAACTGACCCCCGAGGCCTCACCGAGAGCCCTGCGGGCACCTTCACGCGCCTCCCGCCCCTGCCCAGCTGCAGGAGCCTCTCCAACCACGGGCCGGGGGAGCTCAGGGGTGGACACCGGGCTCCACCCAGCAGCGCCGCCAGCGCCCCCTGGCGGTGCTAGGCGCGCACACTCCAGGCCCAAGGTAGACCTAACGCAGGTCCAGCTCTCCAGGGGGAGGAGGAGCTCGGTTTTATGACCACGAGGCGGTCCCCGGACAGTGTCTGCGCCACCCTCGGGGCGCACATAAAGACCAACATCGGCTCTGAAGTGCCAGGAAGTGGGCTGTGTTCCTGGAGCCGAGCTTTGCAGTCAGGTCAGCCCGCCTCGCTGTGTGACCTCCAAGCACTGTGACCTCTCTGAGCTCCCGCTGCCCCGTTGAGCCCCGTTGGGGCCGAGGAAGGCAGAAGCAGGGCTTGTTTGTAAGGGCACCTGGTCCATAGCAGGCCCTTGCCTGCTTCCATCGTCCCCAGCAAGTCAGGAGAACTCTCTGTCCCCTGCCTCAAGTGGCCCGGGAGACACCCATCCTCCCAGGGCAGTGGGGAAGGGACCCTCCAAGACCTGGACCTGCTGCAACACTCCCATCAACCCCCACGGGGCCCTGGAGGCGGGGCGCAGGTAAGGGGGCGGGGCGCAGGTAAGGGGGCGGCTCCCTGGGGCTGGGGCCAGACCCACTGCCCCTCCCCTCCCAGCCACTCACTTGTGCAGAGCATAGTAGACTCGACCGAGGAGCATCATGGTCTTCTCTCCCGTGATGTCCGGGTAGCTGGCTCGCTGGAAGGCCGTCTGGATCACCTTGGCCGTCTCCTGGTTCACTAGAGGGGACGGTGCAGACCAAGGGGCTGCAGACCCAGGTCGGCCACCCAGCTCAGCCCCAGCGTTGGCCATGGCTCAGCCTCTTTGGGATGAGCCCCTCCCCACAACAGGACTCCAAGCTGAGAGGCACGTCAGGTGGCAATTCGCAGGGGACACAGAGAGCCCTGACCCTGAGCCCAGCCAGAGACCTTGCTCACTCACACTCTGGATCCTAACACACAGGCACCCATGATCCTAGTCAAAGTGACAGCCCCAGCCCCAGCTACACACTGACCCCAGCTGTACCCTGACCATGCTGGGAACCCCCTTCCCAAAACAACTGAGTCTATAATCCTGGGTCTTACACTGGAGAAATTCTGTGTTAGAGGTCATATCATTGAGCCTCTCTGTGCCCTTTTTGTAGTGAGCAAGAGGCTGAGGCCCAGAGAAGGCAATGAAGTCAACCAAGGTCACACAGCAGCAGGTGACAGAGTCTCGCTTGCCTGGGCTTATGCTGATGCCTAACTCTGGCCATAGAATGACTTTCAACACCAGCTACACACTAACCCAAACTTTGCCCCCAAGTGTGATCTCCCAAGAAGGCCTTCCTCTGAACCCCAGAATGACTGGGGGTCCCAGTCCCAAACACGAATCCCATGCCTGGCTGTTAGCCTCCCGGTGTCCGTGTTGGTCAGTGGTCACCTGTGGATCTACCCAGGGCAGTCTGCTCCTCTGAGATCTTACTGGTTTATTAGGATAGTGTCTTTTCCCAGCTCCCAAGTACTTTTGTCCCCGATCTCTGTGACAAAGGGTCCGGGATGGCATCCCCCTCCTTTTGCAGAAGGGGAACATACCTTCCCATCAAGGAGCGTGAGGGTGAGGTCAGCAGGGAGAGGAGAGCCCCACCCAGCCCCTCGCACAGGGCTCCGCTCTCTCTGGGCTAAGGTGCAGCAGCTCTGCCCAGGGCTGGCCCCTGACCACGGGGTGTCCTTGAAAAGCCCCCTGCTGGGCACCCAGAGGCCTGGGGGGAGGGGTGCTACTTACACACCAGGAGGGCGGGCTTGGTGATGCGGCACACAATGCCCGCCTGGCACGGGGTGCCTCCAGAGCAGGCGTGGGCACTGCCCAGCAGGGCCAGGGTCAGGAGGACGGCAGCAAGCATGGCTCCCGGTGGCTGCGGCGAGTGGCCCCGTCCACGCCCGGCACAGCTCCTAGCTGCGTGTCTGCCCAGCCTCCACGGGACGTGAGGCGCTTCCGGGCAGCAGGGTCTTTCTGGCCTCCTTCCTGTCCAGCCCCTCGGGCCTCCTCTCTGGACATTGGGCCAGCGCAGCCCTCCTCTGCCCGTCACCTGCACCATGTCTGTGACCCTCCTATTATCTGGATAATATTATATTATCTGGATTATTGTTCATATCCTTCCTGGAATTCATTCTTTTGATTTAAGTAAATGAATCCAAGAACAAATGTCATTTCTCGATGGCCACAAACAGAAACCAAAATACAATGGCCATAAACGAAACATCCAGTTCTCGCCGGATACCTTTGCCCTACAGTGACCCAAGCCAGAGGCCTGCCAACCAGGGAGAGCATGTGGGGGAAGGCCAAGAACTTAGCATTGACCTTCCTCTTGATGTGACTTGAAAGATTGAAATACAACCCCATCCTCCATCTGCAGCCCCTGCCCCAGTGGCCTGTGTCTCATTTTTGGGGATATTCTGGTTTAGAAATCTTTGCATTTAGCCTCCCTTTTGTCTTAAGCAAGAGTCTAAGACACAGAGAGGCCAGGAGAACTGGCCATGGTCACACAGCAGCGGGTGAGAGGGCGTCTCCAGCCTGGGCTCTCTCTTGAGCCCCAACTTGGGCTTCCAGGTCTCTGCCCCCCCTTGGGGGTTCTCAGCTTCCCCCCATCTCCTGTCTTTAGGGTTGGATTGCTGAGGGGCTCCCCTAGAGGCCATCCCTGGGTCCCCAGGCTGCCTCCCGGCCTCGGTTTTTGTGTGTGCAATGACAGTTGCCTGGAATCGGATTCTCCTGGGTGTGGACCACTTGGGTTCCCGGGGTCCCCTGTCCTGGGCTTCAGGGGAAGGAGAGCGGGAGGAGCAGCTTCTCACCTGCCACACGCACTCATGCTGCGGCTGGACAGACCCCTGCGAGGAGGGCCCAGGGGGCCCAGTGGCAGGTGACACATAGGTGACACACAGCACAGGTGCAGACCCAGGGTCTGGGGTGCCTGCCTCCGGGGCACAGGGAGCCTGTCTGGGGCAGGGTGGGTGCACGCGCACTGGGAGAGCCCTGGGCTCTCGGTGCTGAGCCTGGGCACTCCCCCCCAGAGGCATTGGTGTCTGGGAAGACCTGGGTCTTAGAATAAAGGGCTGGGCTCTCTGGTCTCTGAGTTTTGTCGTGAGGACGTGTTATCTTTCAAAAGTTGCACCATACAGTATGTTACCCACATCCGGGGCCAACAAGTCCCCTGTGACAACTGGGATCAACTGACTGGCAGCTCCTCCTTGAAGCCCAGGGAAAGGAGCCAGGGCGGTCAGGATGGCCTGGCCTCACACCCCAAGGGAGAGCCGGGCAGGGTGGACGGAGTGGACTCACCAGCTCCTTCTCAGAGGGTCACCCTGCCCGTGTTTGCTCCCAGTCAGGAGCATGTACCGAGCAGGCTGCGCCCCACATTTCCCACAGCTCAGAGAGGTTAGTCTACTTCACTGGGACACCCAGCCTTGGAGGTTTGTACCCAGAAAAAATGACGCGCTTTCCCCTTAGCTGAGGTCAGGTGTCCACGGGTCTCTGGGGTGAGGGCTGGAGGGCAGCCATGTAGCCACACCCCATCCGCAGGCCTGGCGGGACCTCCCAGGAGCTATTGTCCCGCTGCTGTTCCACTCCCGTGGCAGGGAAGGGCAATGACCGGGAGTGCCCCGGCCAGTACTGGTCAGCCACTGGTGGTCAGCGGGGAGGCGAGGAGGCGAGGAGGAGGCCCCACCCTCTCGTGCAGCCTGGCCAGGGGCCTGGCCCTAGCTGGAGTTGCCCACAGACAAGAACAACGTCAGAGCCACCTCCCGCCCAGAGAAGCCAGGACCCTGGGCCTCGGGCTCAGCAATGATCCTAAAGGTATCAGCTCTTTCCAGCCGGGGCATTTTGGGGTATAATCTACTTTAATCCTTTTTATTCTTTTTAATCAGTTTTTTATGGTGGTGAAATTAAATTTACCATTTAATTAAAATGACTGCGTTGATCATCTTAAAGTGGGCACTTCTTAAAGAAGGTATTTAGGACCTTCACAATGCGGGGCAGCGGCTGGTCGGATTCCAGAACATTCTCACACTCCGTTGGCAGGGACTCCAATCCTTCCTCCTTCTCCAATCTGCTTCCTGTCTCTGTGGATCTGTCTCTTGTGGACAATCCTATAAGTGGAGTCATGTAACATGTGGCTGGCTTCCTTCACTAGGGTGCTTTCCCAGGGCATCCACGCTGTGGCATGTACCCAGCCCTCCACTCCTTTCTGGAGGAGAAGGTAAAGTGTGGTGTAGACGTACAATGGAATATTACACAGACATGAAAAGGAAGGGAATCCTGACTCACACTCTAACATGGATGGACCTTGAAAACTTACACTAAGCGAAACAGGCCGGACCCAGCAAGACAGGTCCCCTTACAGAGGAACCTCGGGTCAACACAGTCAAGAGGTGAACTGAGGTTAGAAGGTTGGGGGCTGGGAGAGGGGGACGGAGAGTCCTTGTTGAAGGGTGTAGACTTTCAGTTTTGCAGGATGAACAAAATGGGATGCACGACGGGAATGTCATCGATGGCACAAAACTGCCCACGTAACAGGGACTGAGATGGTGCGTCTTGTCGTGTATGTTCCGTCCCCAGAAAAATCTAAATGAATGCGAATTATCCCTAAGGAACAAAGTGGAGTTTGTAAAGACCGAATCTCTAAATCAGCTCTGCTGAGTTTTCTTCTTGCCTGAGGCTCCAGTCAGCCTGTCCCAGCTCGATGGCTGAGCTTGTCCCATGGCAGAGCAGGGTGACGGCCCACTGATCCCCAGGTCCTCCTCCCCTACCCCGTGAAGCCAAATCCACAGCTTCGGAGGTCGGGTCCAGAGGATCTGGGGCAGAGCGGGGCCCAGGACCCAGGTGGGACATTCCCGTCCCACCACGGGGGACCTCCTTTCATCCAAGAATGGGCCCTGTGTCAACAAGGGACACAGCCGCAAGGACCAGGCAGGACTCCCTGGGAGTAGCTGCTGGTGATGGAGAAGAGAAGCACGTGGCCTCGGGCCGGAGGGGCAGGGGACACCACGGGGAAGCGGACTTACATGGGGAGGCTGGGGAGAAGGCCTGACTTGGCCACTGGCCCTGGAGGAAGACGCTGTGTCCAGTGATTTGGGGTGCTGGGCCCTACACCCCCAGGCCTGGGGGGGGACTTGGGTTAAAAGCAGCTGTAACCTAAAGTGGGCCACAGCCCGGGGGAGGCCCACCCGGGGACAGGGGTGGGTACAATGGCCCTCCCAGAAACCCTGAATCTGTCTCCGAGGGTCACCCTGGGCGGCCTGTCCTGTGGTGTGAATGTGGTTTGTCCCTCTGAAGTTCGCTGGGCGACCGGCCCCCCTCAGGAGTCTGGAGAAGGCAGGGGCGTCACCTGACATGGGGCTTGGGAGAGTTGATCAGGACTAGACAAGACCCTCAGGAGGCCCGTGGCTGAACGCGGGTGGACGTGCAGGAAGAAGCAAGACCTCTCTCTGCCTCTCTGTCCTTGGTCCAGAATGTGAGCCCAGATGAACCTATCCTCTGTGCCCCTTCTCCAGCCGGGCATTGTGCTATTAATGACAGAAAGTGGACTCACCAGGCCTCTAGGGAGGCAGGATGTGGGGTCAGCCAACTGGGGCAGGAAGGTCACCCCCCGGGCTGCAGGGAGAGACCTGGCCTTCTACTGGGACAGGAGGAGCCGTCTTTCTGTTTACAACCAGGGCCTGCGGGAGGGGCCGGGCATTCCTGAGGTAGGTCACCGACCTGGAGAAACTCAGGACTGACAGAGCCCAGCCACCGTCACTGCTCCCTCCCAGCTAGGGTCTCAGGCCTGCAGCTCCTGGGGGACCAGGGGACAGCCCCTTCAGTTCCAGGAGCTCGGGGGCGGGGCTGGGCTACCTGTGAGAGTCAGCTGTGAAATTCTCAGGAATTCTGCAGGGCAATTATTAGACAGAGCCTTATCAAAAATCAGATTATACAAACTCAGCGCAGTGGCACAAGTCTGTAATCCCAGCAATCTGGGAGGCTGAGGCAGGAGGATTGCAAGTTCGAGGCCGATCTCAGCAACTTAGCAAGACCTTTTTTTTTTTAAGAGCTTGGAGTGTAATTCAGTGGTAGAGCACCCCTGGGCTCAACCTCAAGTACCAGAAAATAAATAAATCATACAAATTACTATGAGATGCTTTATATTAAAAACAAAGCTAGTACTCAAATCTTCTCTCTCCTAATTTGTGCTTTTATTACGGTTTGCTTCTATCAATGCAGAACTCTCACCCACACAGTATCCACGTTGTCTTATGCGTCACGCGTAACTGAAGTAGACGGAGGAGGTGGCCCGTTTACGTGAGAGTTCTACCCTGAGGTCTTCTCTGTATGGTGGGGTTAACTGAGTAATGATGTGTGACCCTGGGTCTCCGACTAGTGCTGTGTTCAGGAATGCCACATCGGTAGCTGGAAATTACACCCCAGAATACCAATGATTGTCCCCCACCCGGTGACACCACTTTACTCCTGGGTGTGGCCCTTTGAACACTTTTCCTTGCACTTATGGGGGGTGATTACTTTTAAATGGGATCACACTACGCAGATTCTTTTATAAGTGACTTCTTACCTACCATCTCATGACAATCCCTTTACAGAAATAAAGGCCATTATACAAGATCTTTAATAATTCACACAGCATTCCACTCGGTGGCTACATTATGATTTATTGAACCAAACCCCAAAGTTAAATATCTCTTGCCTCCCTGTTTGTCCCATGAAGTGTCCTGGTTGATGAGCGGCTCTGTGCCTTTACCTGCAGCCGGGGTTAAGTGTTCCTTAGGATAAACTGCTAGAAGGATGGATTTCTGGGTAATGTTGCGTCTGGTATTGATTTGCCCAGTATTTTTCTTTCTGTGCCTGGGAACATGCGCA